ACAATACTGAAGAGTATAATAATCTTCAAGTGATCAGATCATCCTCTATTCCAAGGCCTTCAGGAACCATCTATAGTTCCCCCAAAAAGCCCAAACTTCTTTGCTTAGCATTCAGACCAATCATCTCAGTTAGAAGTAATCTCCTTCCCCTTGTACTCCCATTACATTGTCCTTGTACCTCTAACATGAGAGTTAACATATCTTTACAATAGAGTTGCAGTGGACAAGAACTTAATTTTATGTGAATTCAAGTCTAAGTAAAGCTGAAAGAGAATAATTTGAATTAAAATACTTCATTTTTAACCATTAGTCCTTTATCAGCTAGGGTTCAATAAGAGAAGCGGAACCCCTATGAATGACAGAGAATACGGGATTTATTATGGGCATTAGCCCTTACAGAATGTAGGAACTGGTTAAGCAGTCTATGTCTGGTGTTGGCCTCTGTCTAGCGTTGGGCCTACAGTCAGCAGGGCCAACAGTCAGGAAGGAAAGATGGTCACGAAATGGGGGAGAGTAAAGAAAGATTGGAACTGTTGAGGACAGCTGCAACCCACAAGGACAAACTAGAACCCAGGCGGGACAAATTGGAACCTGCATCTGTCTCTCATTGCATCCAACTTCAGCGATATGAGTGACCTGCAGGATAAGGTAGTGGCTTTGGCATCGCTGTTGAACATGCACCTAGTTGAGGATTCAGAGAAGCTGAAGGAGGAGATTTGGTGGGAGCTGGAGAGCTTCAGGCCAGGCTGCTGGCCTATGCCTACGCAGTGAGCCCGCAGATCAGCGCCTAGCCCTAAAATGATCTTCAGAGTATAAAAACGTCTGCTGCTTTACTTCTTCCCTCCAAATCTCACACAAATTTCTCTTTAACCGTAACCTAGAAGCCTATAGGGAAGGGAATTTTGGGAACTGCAGTTCCATCTTAGCTAAGTTGACAGGGTACAAAGACCCCACAAGTGCACTTCTGCATAAGATCTTGAGTTAGCAAGGGATTGAAGATATGCATCTGGTATATTTTCAGTCTGTCTCAGTTACCAAGTACCTCTCATAGTGTAAGTATCTCACAGTGCTGAGTACAATTCTACTATTTGGTTGAATTTTTCGAAGAAGACTGCTTTCCTAATCACAAGCCAACTGCCTCATTACATGCTCACGTAAAGAAAGTGCTCTGATCCAATGCTGGAGAGAAAGACTGGCTGCATTGGGTCTATGAACCAAGAGATGAAATGTGGTTCTCCAACATGGTGCCTTCCTAAGAAGCTATTTCTAGAGTGATTTTCCTGTATCCAATTTCCAATTTACACTTTGACTTTGGAACCCAATCCTAGTTTTAGAATCTTCTTCAATAAATATTTATTAAGTGGTGAATGAATTGTGTACTTCTTATGTGTAGGGATTTTCTACTGTTGTATTTCTCTTAGCAAATAGCAAAGTGCTTGACACAAATTAGATACTCAATAGATGTGGGTTAAATTATTTATTGGAAATTTTTATTCTGGTGTTGTGCAATATCAAAACGACAGTATTGTAAATGCTTTATTTTTCAATAGGTTTCCAAGTTGCTCTTAATATGAGCCACTGACTATTGTGTATGCTTTGGGGCCTGGGTAAAAGTGACTGCCCATTCAATGTGGGTTTTATAAGGCAAATTGGAGCCTGCAGAAAAGTATATGTACATTGAAGTACTTTGGAAAACTTTGGCCCAGTTTGTTTCTTTCAATGTTTGCATAAGTTCCTGCACTCTGCCTGTACCTCTCCCTCTGTCTCTCTTTCTCTGGTAAATTATCTTTAAAATATTATTAAAGTCAGCCATGCTCTTGGTAAACAGTAAATAAAGGAGAAAAGTGAACATAAAAGTTCTCTGAACTCCTCCATCTCTACACACAATTTCACACCTTCCAAAAATAACCACTGCTGATATTTTCTGTGTATCTTTCCTCAAATATTCTATGTATTTACAAACATATATATGAATATGCATATATATATTTACATTATATGTATATCTGAAACAAATAGGATCATATTATAAATACTATTCTGCAACAGGTTTTCACTTAATATATCTTGAAACTTTTTAAATATCAGCACATAAATGTACAGCTTTCTTTTAAGCAAACTCTTAAAAATGTATTCCGAAGTACAGATTTACAATTTAACTTGTTCCTTGTGATGGTTATCTTAGATTAAGTCTAAGACTTAGCATTATTACAAACAATGTTGCATATACATATATCTTTGCATGTATCATGCAGGTATACCCAAAGAGCAAATTCTTAGCACTGGAATCGCATGGTTTGCCCAAGCTATGTCATCAACTGAAGGTAATGTATTTTCAGGATATATAATGTTTATAGCTCATTGGAAGTTGCTAGTAAACACAGGGTCACATGTTTCTCCACAGCCTCTTTTGTCAAGAGACCTTTGACAAAAGGAAAACAAGACCTTGAGAGAAAGGTCTTTGTCTTTATTATTTGTCAATCCTCCTTTGGCCATCTACAATTCACTAATAATTAGCAGTCATTCATAACCGTCTTCTGAAACTGAAGACAACTTTTCTAGAGACTAAAAGTGTCATCACCATATTTAACTCAAAATCTAGTCTATCATTCTAAGAAACTAATACATTTTTACAATTCCATTATTATCTTAAGATAGAAAAATATTCCTGACATTGCCACTAAAAATTGGCTGGCCTGGCAATTGTTATCAGGACAACTGTCACAAAAGAGTTTGCCATTGCTTGCTGCTGATCCATTCAACAATATTCTCTGCCTATTTCCCTGAAGGATTTGAGACGGCCCGCTCTGCAAGGACGAGTGCTTCAAGACTGACACCATCGATAGACAAAAGGACAAAAGGCCGGCGATAAAATGGAGGGTAGGAGGAAATTATTTTTCCAAGAAACTAGCTTAAGAAAGACCCAAAACTTAGTTCTGAGCTTTGTAGTAGACAAGGTAGAGAGAAAAAGAGGCTGAGTCACAGAGCTTGCCATTTTCTAGCACAGAGGTTTTCAGTCCTATTAGACATGATTCTTTTTTATAACAAATATTTTTTACTGCTTTGTTATTACCCTGAAATGAGGTCTGTGGATAATACAGCTTATCTACCTACACCTTTTAAAAGTAAATATAAAATCATAAGTCTAGTATAATAGAGAAAATAAGGTAAGTAATGTATAGTAAAATAATACCTGTTTTAACATCTGTCCAGGCATGACTATGCTGGAAGACAAATGAAGTCACCACATGCTTATATCTATAGGAAGAATCCCTATGAATGCAACAGCTACAAATGCAGTCTCGTTCCGGTGTGCTGGCGACTCAACTACCACCAGCCTCATTGACGGTGATGATATAATTTGCCTAAATGAGAAAGAATTCTTAAATCCTGAAAAAAAGCATACTCTTCCCCCAATTTACTTGGATTTTGAATTCCTAGGAAATTAAGTGATATTGAAATTGTGCAATAACTTCTTTGTCTTGACATGTAAAGTGGATTTTTTTCTAGGCCCAAAAGCAGCCCTTTTTTTTTTTCTTATATGGAAGTCTGATGAGATATTCAACAATGGTGCAGAATGTGGAACAATCTTCGCTGTGCAGGACTGTCCTGTACGTTGCAGGTGGTTTCACATCCCCAGTGTCTGTCCACACTTAAGTGCCAGAAGTTCCTCCCTCCCATCACCATTGCAACAACCACCGTGGAAATCTGCTTGGCATTATCTGTTAAAATCTGCATTTCCCCAGACCCAGTAATCTGCTCCTAGTAACACATCCAATATGAGTACATACATGCATCAAAAATTTTGTTCAAGAATGTTTGCAGCAACGTTATTCCTAATAGCCCCAAATGGAAACTCAAATGTCCCCTCAATAGTGGAATGGATAAATAAATAGTCCCATATTCACACAAAGGAAATAATATACAACAGTGAAAATGAACAAATTGTGGAATGGATAAATAAATAGTCCCATATTCACACAAAGGAATAATATACAACAGTGAAAATGAACAAATTGCTACTATAGAAACCAGGGAGGAATCTCACAAATGTAATGTTGAGTGACAGAGCCACACACAAAAGAAGACACACTACGTGTATGATTCCCAAAGTTCAAACACAGGCAAAACGAATTCATAGTATTTGTTGGAATAATGCCTGGAGAGGGGTTAATGTGCCTTTCTGTCGTACTGAAAGAGTTCTATTTTTTGACCTGGAGGGGGTTTAGATGGGTGTGTTCACTTTGTGATAATTCATCATCAGCAGAGAGGACAGTATGAAAACAGTTCTGCAGGATGAGATTCGTGAAGCTTATAGGGAGGAAAAAAAACATGACTGTAATTTTTAAAAAGTTAACTCCCTCCCCAATCCTCCAGCCCTCCATTTCCTAGGAGGGGAGCCCAGGAAAAACCAAACCCGAGAAACATATTCCAGCTCAAACTCAAACTCTCAAACAGATCCGGAGACTCAAATGTCCATCACTCGGGGCAAAAGGTATTCCTAGATTTGTCCAAGGTGATTACAAAAGCCACTAAGTCTCTTCGCTGCCCAGAGTAAGAGGGGAGAGAAAAAACAAAGTTAAAAAACATTAAGTTACTTCCCAACCTCCCTGCCTTGAGCTCCCAAATCACCCGGGCAACCTGGGGCCCAGACCCATCTTAGGGGGCGGGGCTGAGGCCCTACTTTGACGCCCTAGCAACGGAGCGAGCCTTTGCCGCGTCCTAGCAACGCGCCCCGCCCTGCCGTCGGCTGGCCTACCTTCCCTTGGCGCCTCTCCTCCGCCCGCGGCTCAGACTCACCCTCTCACTGAGCTCAGTGGCCCCGAGGGCTTGGATTTGCACACTCCGATTCCGGCGCCGGACAGCTCTCCGGGTTCCTGTGGTGGGACCCTTTTAGGGAGAGGCAGAGCGTGGGGAGGAACGGCGAGAAGCAACGTTTAAATTTAAGAAAGAAAAAAATTAAGATTTGGTAATTTTTATTTTTAAGGCACATCCAAAGCTCTGGGCAGAGGGGGCTGGAGGGTGGGAAGATCACTTCTGTACAAACTCCGTATAAAGAAGGAAGAAAAGAGACCCATTGAGGACCCAGCACCGAGCCGACGGGGGACTGGAGATGTTGGACACCATCGCCCCTTCAGTGCAGGACCTGGGCAGGCAGGTGCTGCCCACACTGCCCTCGCTGAGTCAGGAGGGTAAGCGACATGGGGCAAGGCCCTGGGGGCTGAACCTTCACCTGCTCGGAGAAGAGGCGAAAGACCTCCTTCCTATCGCCTGGCTCTGGCTGGGCTGGATTGTCCGTGTTGCCTTGGCAACCAGCTGATAATCACAGCAGGCTCATGCTGGATGCCCAGAGACAGTTTCTTTATTGACTGCCTTAATGAGGGAAAGCGGCCAGCTGAGGGTTTTGATTAAACGAGATCATGCATATAGAGCTCTTAGCTTGGGGACTAGCACAGAATAAGTGCTCAATAAATGTTAGCTAAAAACAACCACCTCAAACAGGCTCCTTCTCAGAGTTCATGAAAAAACACGGCTATTTTTATTCCCCTTGATATCTTGGGATTGTGTTACAAAAGTGAGATGAACATAAAAAGAACTGGTGTTTGGAAGAAGACCTGGCAGCTTCTCATAGAAAACTTACTAGCCTTAGTTAAAAGCATAGTTTCTTAGAAGAGTCACCCCAAAGTGACACTGAGGTCTGTCTGCAAGTGATAGGAGCCCTTGGGAAGAAAAGTGCTCTAGAAATGGAAGCTATTATTACTATCAAGTCATTGTAACATAGGAATGTTGCCTAGGCTTTAGCCAAATGATTTTAGGAGACAAAATAAATAGGAGTAGATGCCTCTTCTTTCTCTTTCCCGGAATCACTCCTATTTTTTCCTGTTAAAATAATTCTAAAAGAAGCATTAAAGATAATGGTTTTATGGATTTAAAAAATATTTGCCATATTTATAAATTTATATATAATTTATTCATCCAAGTAATTTTGAGAACCTACTATGTACTGGGCACTAGAGAACTGATGGTGAGCAAATCCTTGGAATTTACAATATAGTGGAGAAGATACACATTTACCAAATAATCACAGAAATCAATATAAATTTACAATTAAGTAAGTGCTATCAAGGAGGAGGTGTGTGGTACAACGAGAACTTTTTTTTTTTTTGTGAGGAAGATTGGCCCTGAGCTAACATCTGCCAATCTTCCTCTTTTTGCTGAGGAAGACTGGCCCTGGGCTAACATCTGTGCCCATCTTCCTCCACTTTATATGGGACGCCGCCACAGCATGGCTTGCCAAGCAGTGTAACAGTTCGCACCAGGTATCCGAACCGGTGAACGCCGGGCCGCTGCAGTGGAGCGCGTGCACTTAGCCTCTTGTGCCACCCAGCCGGCCCCACAATGAGAACTTTTAATGAGGGTGAGAATGGGGGTGTGTGTTAAGATTTGCCAAAGAAGGGAAGATTTGAGCTGAGATATGAAGAGTGAGTTGGAATTAAGTAGGTGAAACGGATCAGTGGGGTAGGGAGTGGAGGGGAGGTGGGAGTGCTCTTGGCAGAGGGAATACCAAGAGCAAAAGCTCTTGGTGGGAGGGAGCATGGTGTGATTTAGGAATTGAAAGGTCAATATGGCTGCTCTACAGCTGCAGGAAGGAGTGTGTTCTAAAGGAGGCTGGAGAGAAAGGGAGGGGTCAGGTTATGCAGGGCCTTGCAAGTCATATTAAAGATGTCGGCCTTTATGATAAGCCTGATGGGAAGCCATTAACTGTTTTGAGTGGAGCTAAAGGAGGAGTTGAATATCATGATCAAGTTTGTGTTTTGAAAAGATTGTTCTGGTTGCAATGTGGAGGATGAATTGGAGGGTAAAGCATGTCTACAACAGTAACCTAAGTGAGAGTGAAGGTAGCTTGGTCTAAATTGGCAAAATGGAGAGAAGTGGACAGACTGAAAGGCTATTTGGTGTTAAAATTACAGATTATGGTGATGAACTGGATATGGAGAGTGAGAGAGAAGGGAAGTCTCAAGGATGACTTCTGAGTTCCTGGCTTATGTAACTGGATAGATAATGGTGCCCTTCACTGAGATGGAAACCCTGAATAAAGAACAAGATTTAAGGGAAGGAAGATCCTGGTTTTGAGCAAGTTGAGTGTCTTTGTGAGATATCCAAATAGGCAGTTGGTTACACACATCCAGAACTTCAAAAGGCAGAGGGTGTCTGGCCTTCTAAATAAACATTTGGGAGTCCTCTGCATATTGGTGGTCATTAAAGCCCTGAGCACGGATGTGACTGCTTAAGCAGAGAGTATAGAATGAAAACAGAAGGCCTAGGGCTGTACTTTGAAAAACTCCAAGATTTGATGGCCTGGTTGAGAAAGATGAGCCTGCAAAGGAGACTGAGAAGAAATGGCAGGGAGGTAGGAAGAAAACCCAGGAGAGAGTAGTGACACAAAAGACAAGAGGAGAGGTGCTTAAAGGAGGAGGGAGTGGTCACCAGCGTCAGATATGACTGAGGGGTCACAGAGGTGAAAATTAAACATGTCCATTGAATTTATTGACAAGGAGACCATTGGTTACTTCAGCAAGAGCTTTATTGGTTGAATGACAGAAGCAGAAGGCAAATGACTACTTCTTAACTTTTACAAGTGACTCATTGTAAAGGAGATAAGGATAAACCCCCATCTCAGCAAAACACATAAATTAACTTTTCTTCGTTGTATATGTTAAATCCTGCTGCTTCGGTATGTTTCACCAAAGTTTAATGTTATTTAATTATAGTACTTAGAAGGTTCCATCATCATTTTACAGATGTGAACTGGGTGAAACTATTGAAGACTACACAGCTAGCAACTGATCTTTCCACTGCACTATGCTCTGGGAATAGGTTTCTGTGTTCACATTACTCTATAATATTTTGCTCTGTTGTATATCAGTATTTTAATTTTAGAAGATGTTTTATAAAGTCAGGGAACTTACCTTTTATTTTTTGATATTAATATCTATTTCAAGCCTATATTCTATAATTTATGTAATGGGCGTTTAGTCCTTTTTTATAATGATCATATATAAGATACAGCATTCCTGCTACTTGGCAGTGTTTAAAAATATGGTTTTGAATGCACAAAATGTTTAGAATTTGAAGCCAAATGAAGGTTGAACTGAATATAGAAGGTATATCCAGGGATTATTTCTTTATAATAGTGATTCTTGGTTTCAGTGTTTGATTAAAATAAATAATAACCCCAGCTTTCCTTAAAATATAAAAGTAGCATATTTTTTAATTTGCTTTTTAGACTGGATTAAAATTCTTTTTGTTTTGAGATTTAGTGATAGTCTCTCTGACACTTTGGGATCTCAGAAAAGTCAAAGTTAGAAATCATAGTCTGTAAGATTTCCAAATCTATTCCAATTGAATTGCAGGGGCCTATAACCTCCTAAAGGGAATGACGTGCATGTTTTCCTTTTTCTTCATTAAGAAATAGCAAATTTCAGTTTAGAATAATAAACTCTGCTGTTATATAACTTTGCCTATCAGATTTTATAGAGTAAAACAATGCGGTAGACTTGAATGTATCATTCAAATGAAGAAAGATGATCCTCAAATTTCCAATTAAGCTCAGTCAAGTCTTTTCACTAGGGTTTGGTTGCAAGCTATATAGTTTCTCCTGGCCCTAATTAAATCATTTCCTTTTGGTGTAGATTGTTTTCCTGAAATTTGAGCTGCATATCATGAGTCTAGGTGAAAGACTTAACAGTTTTGACTTAATAACTTCGAAAGGTCTCCATGTAAATCTGGATATTGAGATTCTGTTTTATTAGTGAATCAATGACAATTTTGGTCGTGACGAAAATTTTAATTCAGTATACAATTGGGACTGGTTGAAAGACCTTCTTAGTTTTTAGCAGCCAGCAGTAGAATTCTTTTGTCTATGGGGGTGGGAAGGAGTAGGGACTAGAGTAGGATGAGGCAGAATAGAGGAAATACCTGATTATAGTAAACTGTATATCCATGATTTAAAGCGAAGGGCAGAATCTTGTCACTTGGCTCACCATAGCACGCAGCCCTAGTTTTCTTGGTGGACGAGTGAATTCCTATCACCCAACTTGTTCCCAGATGCCCATGAGAGTCCCTACAACTTCTCCTTGCCTAATCTGCTCTTTCCCTGGCATATTATTGAAAATATTTATAACCCTGATGTACTGGAATTAAAAGATTGCAATTTCCCTGCTTTAGGTACTGGTTTAAACCATTAGAAAAAAAAGTCATACCAATAAATTAAGCAGTTTTCAAAGTGAGGAAAGAATTGGTCTTTTGTCACTGACTGCATCTATGACCTGAAGTGGCAACCTGGTAAATGTCACTGTTCTTTTTTTTTCCCCAAGATTCACGCTGAGCTAACATCTATTGCCAATCTGCCTCTCTCTCTCTTTTTTTCCCTCTCCAAAGCCCCAGTACATAGTTGTATATTCTAGTTGTAAGTCCTTCTATGTGAGTGGCCGCCACAGCATGGCTACTGACAGGTGAGTGGTGTGGTTCCACGCCTGGGAACAGAACCTGGGCCACTGAAGCGGAGCTAGCTGAACTTTAACCACTAGGCCATCAGGGCTGGTTCGAAATGTCACTGTTCTTGATCTTTTATTTTGAGAACTAAAACATAACACTCTTGATTTGCAAAGAGTTCCTCATTGGAAAGTATCTTTAATACACATGATTAGGCTTTGGATGGAGATGTCAACACAGACATAGTTTTCTGTATTTCTAAATATTAGTTATACCTAGAGTATACTTTGATATCACACATTAACACTTTAGTCATTGGCAACTACTTATTTTTCTACCCATTTTTTGGAACACAGCTCAGAACAAGAAAATAAACATAGAAGGCCTCCCTCTGGTCATTCAAAGCAGATAATGCTAAGTTTATGCACTGATTCAAAGGAAAGCCCCTTGAGCCCCTACCCAAAGTTCTGTTTTTTTTTTTTTTTTGTGAGGAAGATCAGCCCTGAGCTAACATCCATGCCAATCCTCCTCTTTTTGCTGAGAAAGACTGGCCCTGGGCTAACATCTGTGCCCATCTTCCTCCACTTTATATGGGCTGCTGCCACAGCATGGCCTGACAAGCAGTGCATCAGTGCGCGCCCGGGATCCGAACCCAGGCCGCCAGCAGCGGAGTGCATGCACTTAACCGCTATGCCACAGGGCCAGCCCCCCCAAATTTCTGGTTTTTAAAATGATTATTTTAGACATAGTGTTAGTATATTTGTTGAAATCAAGAACACAGCAGATCAGAAGCAGTGAATTAGGAATGGGCAGGAGGCCTGCAGAGCACTAGCAGCAGAGAGAGGTGACAGCTGGTAGTCTAACAGTGACAATTGAGAATGAAAATGAAAAGTAAGTCCAGAATTAAGCAAAAATATGGTGATCATTTCATGATATATACAAATATCAAATCATTATGTTGTATACCTGAAACTAATATAATATGTCAATTGTATCTCAATAAAAAAATTATTGCTTCATAGGTTTAGTAATGATGTCATATGGGCATAAGACATTTAAAAAATATTGAAGGCTATTACCTGCTACTCACTGTTCAAAGTACACAAAGGTTCAGTGCACAAAACAGCTTACGTCCCTGCTCTCATGGAGTGTATCATCTGGGCAGGGCAGTGCAGAATGATGATACACACACACACACACACACACACACACACACACACACACACACACAGAGTCTCTATAAAGAGGACCCCCACCCCCAAAAAAGAATTAAACAAAAATAGAAGTATAGAGACAGCAAATGCACAGACAACAGCCTTTCATGCCTTGGGGTCCTTGGCCTAATTTTTGAGTTATAGAATGGTATAAGAATGAATATTCATATTAATCAGATGGCGCAGAGTAGATACATGATAAATGCTTGTTGAATGGGTCATTAAGAAAAGGCTATATTATACTTGGTTAACTCTGTTTATAGAATAAAGGGAAATGTGTGACAAAGTTCCCTTTATTCTAGAAAGATTTCCTTCAAAAATTTATTATTGTTATTATTTTTTAAAAATCCTTTATTTTTTATTTATTTATTTTTTTTGTGAGGAAGATTAGCCCTGAGCTAACATCCGATGCCGATCCTCCTCCCCTCCTTTTTTTGCCGAGGAAGATTGGCCCTGAGCTAACATCTGTACCCATCTTCCTCTACTTTATACGGGACGCTGCCACAGCATGGTGTGACAAGCAGTGCGCTGGTGCGCGCCCGGGATCCGAACCTGTGAACCCCAGCTGCCGAAGCGGAGCGCGTGCGCTTAACATCTTGCGCCACCAGGCCAGCCCCATGTTATTGTTATTTTTAATCACATTTTTGGAACTTAAAGGGGTAAGCTTTAGTTACCATAAAAATTAACTTTGGGAAATGACCTTATTTTGTTAATTCTAAATTATTTAGGAATCACTGTTATTTGATTCTGCATTTTATATTTACATTTTTATTTATTAGCACTAAGATACTATTGCATGGGTGCTTACATAAATTATTTTTGGTTTTCTTTGAATTTCAGAAGTCTCTACTATCTGGGGGAATGTGTCAGAATTTGTGGAACGGCAGCTGTCCCTACATAAGGTAGGATTTATACTTTAATTTTAATGTAGGAGTCCAAAGGATCTTTCCTCCTCAGTCTCATATAATTTTGCTGGAAGCAGGATGGCAGACTTTAGAGCCACCCAGTTTGACTTTCAGTCCTGTGATTTTATGATGCTCATGCTTAGAACTTGTGGCTAGTAGATTTAACAAACATGGATTTTTGTCCTTAGGTAATGGATTTGTAAGTTCTGCTCTTCTAGTGATACAAAGTGCAGCACTGCTCAGCCTGGGTGTGTGTAGAGGAACTAGATGAGACGACATAGCTATCGAAGGATATAATGCTTCTTGTCTTGCCTCCTTGCAGGGAATGGATTTTAACTGAAATATAAGACAAGGACTGAACTCAACTTGCCAAAAATGAGAAACTTTGCCCAGGGCTGGGCTGTTTCCTCATGTCAAGTTTTGAGTTTGGTGCCATAGGACTGGACAGAGATCTGTGGAGTTTGGAGGGAGCTGGGAGATTGTGGAACTTTTATACCCTACTCAGAGGTCCCAATATGTTAGCCCTTGGGCTGAATTTATCCTTCAGACGTATTTTGTTTGGTCTGATAATTTGAATTAGTCATCACTACTTAAAATTGGGAGAGTTTATATAAATTTTTGGATTTTTTCCTCAAAAAATCAGCAGATTTAACAATACCAGTTTTCCATTGCTGTGTAGTGAGGCTTGGCTGTAGCTGACAATGGGCTCTCCTCTCCCCATGCCCCCATGGGGCACGCACTCTCTAGCCGCCATGTCTCTGCTGGCTATCATCACTCCCTTGACTTCTTTCTTGGCCCATGTAGGCATTTGAGTTTGTAACCCTTGGTGTATTGATAGTTCCAGGAAGACAGAGACCCAGTTTGAGAGCCAAAAGCATTTGCTTCTACCTATCAGTGAAGAACGCCACACTGCAGCATATGCCTTGAATGCTGGGCTGTCTGATTTTAAGTGAGAGACATAAAACCTAAAAGAGGGAATGAGAAAGCAGAGATTCTCATGACTCCTTAAATTCCCTCCCTCCAATGGCACATGATTAAAATTTAGAGTGTCACAAAATTTAGGACAAAAGTAATCTTAGATATAGATTGAAAGTAGCTGAGGACTAAGTTTTCTTAGTCCTTACAGCCTTTGAATGACATGGAGACGAGGGATCTGATGTCAGACAAGCATCATGGATTAATATATTACATTTTATACTAAACTTACTTGAAAACTTAGAGTCATAAAATGCTATAGCTATAAGAGATCATAGAGATCATTGAATTTTTAAGGCCTAAGCTTAATTTTCTTCATGCTTTTTGTATAATAGTACTAAGGATTATTTTTCTTTACCCCTTCAGTGAATTCTGTTTGTTGTTCTTTTTTTCCCCCTTCTTTTGCGTTTCAGGGGGTTCAGATTCCAGGACTTGGAACTTTTACTTTCATGAGACAAAAGCTGGAAGTGGGAAACAAGAAGTTTATCCTAATTCAGAGGCCCATATTTATCATGGCAGAGAAGTTAGTACAGATCCATGCGCTCAAACAAAACAAAGTATATACTCCTGGTAAATCTTTTCAATATTTAAGGCTTTCCCAGAAGGTGACTGGCCTGGGGATGAAAATGAAAGGGCAAAGCTTGGCCAGTTGCTGCTTTATTTGTTTCTGATTTGAGGGGCGCACTTTTTATGTGGACCCTTGGCAGAAGGAGTGTCTGAGGTAGGAAATAATATACAGTCTTCCTGTAGAGGCAGGCATGAGAAGACCTTATGTGACATAAAGGCAAGTTTATATCAAAGCCACATCACAGAGTTGTGCAGACTTTATTCATATTTCAGATTGTCAGAAATTAAAAGTAGTTAGAAAGAAGAGAAAGTTAATTAGGGCCTTTGTTTAGGAGAATGACAGTTGCGGGGAGAATGACAGTACTTTTTCACAGTATCAGCTGTGAAAAAGATCACTGTGTTTCTAGCATATATATAATTTAAATTATTAAAATTCAAAATTTAGAAGATTAATAATTCCATAAAGATGTAATACCTTGTATACTTCTCACATTGTAAAATCATTCTTTCTTTCCTTCCTCTCTTTTTTTTCTCCCTCCCTTTCTCCCTTCCTTCCTTCCTTCCACAAATATTTACTGAGGGCCAACTATGTGTCAGGCCTTGTTCCAGGTGCTTGAGATATAGTGGTAAACAAAACAGATGTGATGCCTGCCACAGGACGCTGACATTCCAGCGTTACTGTGTGGACTTTGTGACACCTGCCCTGGTTACTTAGAGGCCTTTGGGGCTTCCTTCCTGATTTCTGGCTGTGTCCCTTGTGATCTTCCTTATCATCCCCTCCTGCATCAGACTCATACCTGGATGAAGAGAGACGGTGTACCCCTAATGCCGGCAGGTGAAAAGGCTAAAACTTCCCTTTATGTTAACTTCCTTGCAAGTTAATTTTCAGAGTAACTTTCTACCAAAAAATGATATATTGGAAAAACCAAATACCAACTAACTATACTTAGAAGTCATTATACATATATTCTGTATGGTGGGCTTGATGGACTTTTCAGCCATTTTTACTTACAGTTTTAGGAGAGAAGAAATATAACATCCTAATTCATCAAAAACCTACCAAATGAAGTGAAAATAAAGCCAACTTTTTTTGCAAAAACATTTGTGCCTTAGAATTGAGCTTATTTTCAATCTTGGATCTTGTATTGTAGTCCAAAAAAGTAGTTTAGATCTATAATTAATTTTTTTACAAGGTTGAGGAAATTCCAGAATTAAACATATAGGATTGAATTCATTCACAAGAACAATTCTGTGCAGAGTTTAGTTTTGGGGTTATGATTCTTCATCATTAATTAACTAGATAACTAATCAAACATTATACAGTGATTCTTAAAGACTATTAAGACCTTGCTTTGGTCTTATTGCTTTGGTCTGATTATTGGTCCTTGCTTTGAAGAGCTCAGAATCTAGCATAGGAGACAAATATATAAGCAAATGATGCAACGAGATTAAATGCTGTGAAAGTAGCATTGATCAGAACTGCATCAAATGCCAGGGGAGCCCAGAGGAGAACAGGCCTAACTCTGCTTGGAGAGGTTTAGGAAGATGACATGCCAGGAGGTCTTAAAGGATGATAGGACTTTGCTGGCAGAGAAGCTATGGAAGATATTTCAGGAACAGTGAAGAATAAGGGAAAGAGTGAACTCTGTTAATGGAGTAACGAGTACTTTTGTGTGGTCAGGGCATATGATTGTGGAGGCAAATGGAGGGAGGTAAGACAAAACTGGTTGGTAGGGGTCAAACTGTGAGGGGCCTTAAATGGTGTGATAAGGACTTTGGAATTCATCCTGTAGGCACTGAGGAGCCATTGCAAGTTTTTGATCAGGGAATTATCTGTACTGGTCCAGCTTTTAGTTTAGGAAGATAGCTCTTTTAATTACAGTAGTTTGGTAAAATATGGTAAAAGCCTGAATGAAGGCAAGGCAATCAGGAGGAAGACGAAGGAATCTATTCATGCGACATTTCATATGTAGAACTGATGGTATTCGGTTACCAGCTGAGAGTACTGGGAAGCAAGAGGAAGGAAGGTATTTAGGATGACTCAGATTTCTTGGAGAATAGACGGATGCTCATGCCATTAACAGCTATAGGGAAAGAAGGGGGAAAGGCAGCTTGTGGTGGCAAATAAACTAATAAGTTTGCTTCTGGACATGTTGAATTTGAGATTCCTATAGGGATATTTAGGTAGAGATGATTGCAGAGCTCAGGAGAGGGGTGGAGACTAGAGGTCAAGATTTGGATAAGTTTACTCAGGAGATGATATAAAGTAAGAAGAGGAGATAGGGACAAAATCCTGTGGGAAAAAAAACACAACAACAACAAAACCAACCACTGTCTTATAAGAAGTAGAAGAGGAAGGAAGCCAGCAAAGGAGACTAAGGAGGAGGAAACTGGAGAACCAGAAGTGCTGCCATGGATACAAGAGAAGAGAGAGGGCATGGTCAACAGAAGTTAAGAGAGGTCATGAGAAAAAGATTTGCAACGTATTCATTGGCTTGCCCATCATGAGATGACAGTGTTCTTGCTGAGATTAGTGAACTGAAGAGATTGCAGAGAGACACTGGGCGAATGGGAGGGGAGAATCTAGAGGCAAGCAACATAGCCTTCTCTTTTAGGAAATTTATTTTAAAAAATGAAATGGAGGGAGGTGGTATAGAATCACTGCTAAATTATGCAGGAGACCTGGGCTAATATAGGGAAGCTCTTGTAGTGTAGACCTATTAATCCTCATCATCCAGCAGTATCGGACATTTGAAAGGCTATAAATTAATGCTTGCTGAATGAATGTTTAGAATGTTCTTATCTTCTCTCTATCCTCTTCCTCTATCAGTGGACCTTGTTTACTGTCTCTCTTTGGATTTATCATGTTGATCATCTTTGCTATTTACCTCCTTTTCTGACTTGTGGGCCTTGCATAGCGTCTATATCTGTTCTAGTAGAATAGACCCTGTGCTTCCTTCAAGCTAGATATAGTCCTATTCTATCGCAATGTCATTGATGGGCTCATTAGAGAGGAAAAGCTTTCTGCAAGTCATCCAGTCTGATATCCTCTGATAAGACCCAATTTCATTTGAAAGGTAACTTCTAGTGAAGATGACTATATTTTCAACACACAACATTTGTAGATATTTATAATCATTTAAAAATTATATGATAACTAGAGGAGATAGGCAAGTATTGCTGCAACATGTCCTGAAAGATAAGGGGCTGACAAATTCAGAAAACCCTCTGATGAAGAGAAGCAGTTAGCTATTATTATGTCTCCACGAGAAAATAAAAATCTTGTCTGGAATATTGTTTAGAAAGCTAATTGTTCTTATTTTGACCAAAAAACATTATACTTTTAGGGAAAATCATATTGACTACTGTCTGTTAATAACCAGCAGTGTCAGTTGTCTGTAGGAATAATGTTACAACTAAAGGCTTCACATGGACAATTCTATTTTTGTGTATTGAGTGAGAATCAGAAAATTATTTGTGCGTGTATATGATATGTCTTTGTTTTAATTTCCACTTCCTCCCCCCCCCCCCCAACTGTCCTTTTCTCCTCTAGGTGATATCCCAATTGTTCCGCTTAATTTTGTCATGATATCCCTGGAGGGTCCATTTAACAGGGATACAGTGGAAGGATGTGTGAAGGAGACGTTGCTTTTTTTATCTCGATCCATTTCCGTCAAACAAAATGTGGAGTTTACATTCAAAGGAATTGGGGTCCTCGTGATCAGAGACGGCAGAGTGAAGATGAGATTTTATAAGGACTTCCTTTGTACAATGGATGGAAGTGGGGCGTTGGCGAAAGCCCTAGCAAATGTAAATTAATGTTTCCTTTTCTTAACTTCTCTCCCGAGTAGCTCTGAATCATCTATAATTGTGTCATCATTAATAAAAACTCAGGTTGACAAATTTTAAAGGGCAGTTACCACAAGTGCAAAGAAATGCTTGTTTATAGATGCTTAACTCTTTGACGAAAAGGTTAGAAGGGCAAAGGAACTTGACTAAGTTTTGAGTCAATGCCAACTGAAAAATATAAATAGTAATAGACACTTCTATAATTCTGAACATTTTATAGTACCTTGTAGTTTAAAAAGTCCTTCCACACATTATTTCATTTGAGTCTCAAAACATCATAAAACTGGTATTATTACCATCCTGATTTTACAAATGAGATAAATGGGGGCTCAAAGAGGTTATGTGGGAAGCCTGAAGTCAGGGTGCTGATAAGTGGTAGACTGGAGTTCAAGCCAGACTTCCTAATTACTCTTTTTTTGCTGGTTATATTACTTTATTTTAATGAAAGTCTACAATAAGATCTAATTCAAGTCATGGAAATGTATCTTTAGCTTTTAATTTGCTATGTCGTGGAAGAAATTTCATAATCCGTTATTAACCATTAAGTAGCTGGTGTGACCTTCATGCTAAGTTGGACATAGCAGAGTTTAAGAGGCAATGGAGGGCCGGCCCCGTGGCTTAGTGGTTAAGTGCGCACACTCTGCTACTGGCGGCCCGGGTTCGGATCCCAGGCACGCACAGATGCACTGCTTCTCCGGCCATGCTGAGGCCACGTCCCACATACAGCAACTAGAAGGATGTGCAACTATGACATACAACTATCTACTGGGGCTTTGGGGAAGAAAAAAAGGAGGAGGATTGGCAATAGATGTTAGCTCAGAGTTGGTCTTCCTCAGCAAAAAGAGGAGGATTAGCACAGATGTTAGCTCAGGGCTGATCTCCCTCACAAAAAAAAAAAAAGGCAATGGAATAGTCAATCAACAGGACTAATTGAATACTTAATGTGCCTTAGGTGCAGCTCTGGGAACTAACAAAATTGGTATGTATTATATAATTGGTATATATTATATATATTATATAATCCTGTGTCCCATAGAGCAAAAGCCTGAATTTTGTGAAAACACTATAAAATGAAAGGCTATAAATATGGTCTAATCCTACCCTCTAATTTCTCCTTTCATGGAGCTCTGGGATGGGGATTTAGGAGATGGAGTTGTATATAATGGGGCTTTTGGTGTTTTCTCCACAATCTGGCTTTGTACAGGATTTTTAAGAGAGATGCCAACTCTGTGTGTGGAAAATGGAAACACACACAGGTATAACCTCTCTTTTCCATGAAAACACAAAGCAAGGTTTGCAAAACCAGAGCAAGGCCAAAGCAGTGGCCCATCTCTAAACTTCAGGCTTCTACAGAACTTGGTAGCTTCAATATGTGTTTAAAAGAGAGGATAGGGCCAGCCCCAGTGGCCTAGTGGTTAAGTTTGGCACGTTCCACTTAGGTGGCCTGGGTTCAGTTCCTGGGAGTGGACCTATACTCCTCCTGGGTCAGCGGCCATGCTGTGGTGGCGGCTCACATACAAAGAGAGGAAGACTGGCAACAGGTGTTAGCTCAGGGCAAATCTTCCTTAGCAAAAAAAAAAAAAAAAAAGAGAGAGAGAGAGAGAGAAGATAACATTTTAATTGGCCTACTGCATTCTAAAACATAAGTTTTAAGGAGCATTTTCCAAAAGAACTAGTTCTGAGAGATATTCTATGAAAAAAGGGTTTGGAGGCCAAAGCAGATGGAGAACTGCTGCATATATTACCCTCATGGGCTGAGGCACAAAGCACATTGGCATGTTAAAGGATCTGAGAAGTCTGGCTGGAAAGAAGCCACTTTAACTGCCTGAAAGTATTTGATCATGGAACTTTAGACTAATCCAATACTCATTAACACCTATAAAACACATTTTGGGAAACTACTGTAAAGCGGTGAGAGTGACTGTTTTTTCCCCAAATGTCCCATAACTTAAACCTGAGTGCTGTCCTGCAGAATAGTTCTCTTGGGAAGCTGTATGCTTATTTCACTGATGCTGCTTTTGCTGGAAACATTTTTAAAACCTCTTTTTGGGAATTCCCTTCAAAGCCTTTTGTAAGCCATATCCTAAATCCAAAAATAATAATTTTATATATCATTCTGTACTAGTGTAATGTAATAATGTGATTATTATATAATGTAGTAATAATTATAATAGCTGCTATTTGTTGAGTGCTTATTATGAGCTAGCCACTTACATACAGTATCTCATAAAAATCCTGTGAATTAGATCTAATTATTATCCCCAAATACCTAAGGTGTAAGGCTACATAGTTGTTATCAGTGTGGGCGGTTGAGCATGAGTCCGCCTGACTCCAAAGCCCTCTCTTAACTACCCAATTTTAGAGTTATTTGGGTCAAGAGTGGAATTAGCTAGCATGCTCATTTTCCTGATAGTTTCAATAAGTCAATTATCCTCTTAAAGATGTCTAAAAGAAGCAATCAACTCTGAAGGCAATTTCCAAAGAGGAAATAGTTTGAGAAAAGGCAGCATCGATGGTATTGGTATGTGACTACCCAGGGTGACTACTTTGATAAATGACATCATTCCTCATTGGTTTTTAAGCTCTGGACTTTAGGCACTAAACAAAATTAACAATAAAGAGTATCATGGTAGCCTTGCCTCTGAGACAGCCTGTAGCTTTGATTTGTCTGTGTCCTAGACCACAGCCCAGGTATAACCCTTCTCTGTTCCTGTCCTCCAGAGGCCTGGCACTGTGGACTCGGTGTTGTCTAGCAGAGAGGCCTTGGGGAAGCGGCCGAACAGCGTGCTTGCATTTCCAAGGTCAGTGCTTTGCTCCACAGCAGTCCTTGCTGGCCTATTGATCTAACCGGGCAGGGCTTCACACCCTTTCTTAGCTCATGCTCCTTTTAGTACTCTCTCTCTCTCTCAGTGCGCCAGCAAAGAAGAGTTTATTGCATACGCTTTATGTAGTTAAGTTAAAAAACACTGGGCACTTAGAATATTCCTTTTTTAAACTACTCTTAGTTCCCTGGAAACCCTGATACTACCTCCCACCAACCTTAGTCCCTGCAATATTAGTAAAATTATTCTCACCTGCTGGGCTTTCCTCTCCGTTCCACCACTTCCTCTGATCTAGCTTCTTCCTCTGTCTGTAGCCTAGCCACCTCCTGTGTGAGCTCTGATTTTCACCACTGAAGGGGTTAGAAAGACAAGGTAGAATAAAGGAACAGCTTTACCCCAAGTACGCAGTGGGTGTTACTGGTGGCTGCTGCTGACAATGATTATAATAATTATAATGATAACAATAATGATAATGATAATAATAGTTATAATCTATGGAGCACTTACTAGATGCCAAGTATTGTTAAGCATTTTCTCAATATTCTTATATTTAATCTTCACTGCAACTGTTTGAGATATGTGTTATAATTTTATCCATTTTATAGAGATGTAAAAATTGTGTGCTCTTAATCATGTTCTTAATCTTAATAGCTGTACCATTAACTACTATGGAGGAAGTTTGGGGTATAATAACCAGCTTCCCAGAGTATTATTTTCTCACGTTTTTTTTGAGTCTGTGACATTCTCTTGGTTTGCTAGTTTGGAATAACTCCCTCCTGGAAGGCCTGTATGACGCATCTTTCCACACATCAGTGTGAGGGCCAGATTAAGCTTTAGAGATTAGTTAGGTGAACTCCCTCATCTTGCAGATGAAATGGCCACACAACTGAGTGGCCAAGCCAGAAATAAAACCATGGCTCCTGACTGTTTCGGTGTTCTTTCCATTGCACCATGTTGCCTTACTCATTAAAAATAAATCAATGGATTCAAAATAGTTTTATTTTGATTATATTTTGGAAGGCAAATTTGGCTGTCCCTTTGGACATATTTTGGCTTGAGCAATCCAGGAGGGAAATAATCGCAGTGAGTCAAGGAACAGAGAGGGAGGCTCCTGTCAGTTAGAGAGCCTAGAAATAGACACGAAGACTCAAATACTCAAAACAATTGTAGGTGTTTTATTTATGTGAAGTTTGGCCCCTGAATTTACTGGAACCACCCCCCACTTCCAACTCTAACCCAGCACTCCATACCTAAGACCAAAGAAAAACTGCTTCTCCCACTGTGCCTTTGCAAGTCCTCACTCTTGTCTGGGAGGATGGAGAAGTGGGAAGGAGAAAGAGGGAGGAGAGAAATGGTTATTTCTGGGCATACTCTGCATACTAGACTATGAATCCTTGCCTTCAAGCTATCCAACAACCACTTTTCACTGTGTCACCCCTACTGCATCTGGTTACAGAACTAGAAAAGACAGATAAATTCAAACTGAAACCAAAACCAAAAACATAAATCTAGGCCTTCAAAGCAATGTATCAAATAAGAGCTGCCTTTGAGCCCTCAGTAAGGAAGGGGAAGGTCTTGGTTGGCTCCCAGACTTAGCCTTAAAGAGAGTGAGTCCATGATTTGTACTCAGCAAATCAAAGCACTCGCTCCCTTGAGAGAAGTGGGCATATTTCAGAATCAGTGAGCTAGCCGGGGTGCTTCTCAGAATGAGAGTTCACATATTCACCTATTCTGGTCCAGCACAGTGGACAAACATCTTGGCTTGTTCCTAGGATTGAGCTCAGGGAGATGGAGAACAAACCACCTATGGAAACCATTGTAGAAGAAGGTAGAAAGAACAGACAAAGGAAGTACAAATTAAAAGACCAGTCAGACAAAGAAGAAGGCGTCAGAGGTAGGCCAATGGTTTCTGGGTATAATCTGTCACTCTGCTCCTTATGAGCCCAGCCATATTGCTTAGCAACTCCTAGGCCCAAAGTAAATAAAGTTAGATTCATGAATAATCACTGTATTCTTCTTTTTAACAAACATCTTCTATTCCTGGAATCTTGTATCTCACCTTACCACTTTATTACTCTCAGGTTCTTAGACTATGATCTTTGCTGGCTCCCCATTGCTTAAAGGGTCAAAATTCAGATGCCTACAGGGTCCAGGCAGATGACATAAATGCATGAAGTGGGCTGGAGATAACATGATAGGGAGACATGTTAGCATAAATAATAATTTTTATGAAAAATGAAGAGTGGTAGTTTTACATCTTTGATATCTGGCCTAATAGAAGATAGCTCCATTCTCATATCTGTGTCTTCATTTAATCTGTTGTGATATGTTGGTTTGGCTGAAATATATAAAGAAACTGCTAGGACTTCAAAGACTTTTTGAAGGGTTCTTAGGGATCCCCAGGGGTTGCCAGACTACTTTTTGAGGACTGTCCCTCAGAAGATTGTTGATTTGTGGAAACGTGGGCAGGGTGGTATAAAATTTTCTGATTTTTCAAGAGAAGCGGAGATCCTGAAATCTGTTGATTGTTAAATGTTGACAACTAATTGATACTGAAACAAAAAAATGCTGATTGGGCCAAACAAAACGTATCAACAGGTAAACATTGGCTTGGTTTTGCATTGTGTGGCCTACAGGATTACATATAAACTTGTAGCTTAATCTTCACCTGCTTTCATTTCTTTAGCCTCATCTGTCACTATTCCCTACAGACTCCTTCTTTGAGCAAAATCGTCTATTCATGTTTTTCTAACATGCTTTGCTTTTCCCGGACTTCACGCTTTTGTTCACTCTTTTTCTCCTGCCTGGAATGCTCTGCCTTTTCTTACCGTCTATTCTAATCCCACTTGACCTCTTAGCACCCTTTTCATATCTCACTTCCTTCATGAAGACTGCTCTCATCACTGGATTCTGAAGTGGCTTCTCTCTTCTCTGAGCATGTCAGACCCTTAAAGAGTGCACCATTCATTTGGGATTTAGACGCTTTGCATCATTGTCCTGAGATGCTATTTACACAATGTATGTAAAACACTTAGCACTGTTGACGTGTAGGAAGACCTCCACAAATGAGAGCTCTCATGTTTTTTGTTTGTATCTTATTTTTCTCTTCAACTATATCTAATGAAAGATCTTTAAGGCCAAAGACTTGCCTCTTTGTATTTTCTAAAGTGCCCAGCCAGTGCTTTGCATGTAATGAGTATACAGCAAAAATATATATATATATTTTAACCACACTAGGGCAAGGGACAATAATTTAAAGATAAGAAAGTGTATCTTATGTGAAAAATTTCCCTGGTAAAATTATGAGTTTTAAAAATCTGTCTTAAGTACAAACCACCCATTTAAAGTTGAAAAGAAACTCGCTTTCATTCATTCTACAGAGATCTTATCACCCAAAAGAATTCAAGATAGACAAGCTCTCTCCCCTGGCAAAGTGACAAGTGCCAGCTTGCTGAACAAGTTGGAGCGAAGTGGGAGTGGTGGGAAGAATATGAACCCTGAAGGGTAATGCATTGGTATTTTTTATGTTGCACTTTACTAAATATATTTTCGAGTCATATCTTGATGCAGGGAATTTAAAAAAGCATTCATTCATTCCTTCATTCAGTATTCTTGAGTATATTCTATGGGCTAGGTGACGGGGATCATAAAGACGACCAGTACTCACAATCTAGCAGGAAACTCAGACATACATAGAGCGGTAAGTTATGTTTCACTGGGATAAATGCTATGACAGAGATGGAAACGAAATAGCACAGAGGAGGGAATATCTAACTTTCCTTGTGGATTTGGGAAAACTTCCCTTCTTGTTTTCTGAGTGCTTGGATATTATGAACATACTATAGAATTCACTTATTCAGTTATTTATCTTGTTTATTGGCTATCTGTCCCCATCAGCATGGTAATTCCATGAGGATAGGGGTTTTTTTTTTTTTTTCCTAAGGAGATCAGCCCTGTGCTAATAACCTCTGCCAATCCTCCTCTTTTTTTGCTGAGGAAGACTGGCCCTGGGCTAACATCCATGCCCATCTTCCTCCACTTTATATGGGACGCCGCCACAGCGTGGCTTGCCAAGCAGTGCCTCGGTGTGCACCTGGGATCCAAACGAACGAACCCCGGGCCACCGCAGCGGAGCATGCGCACTTAACCGCTTGTGCCGCCGGGCCAGCCCCTAGGAATTTTCTTTTTTTTTTTTTGAGAGGAAGACCAGTCCTGAGCTAACTCCAATGCCAATCCTCCTCTTTTTTTTTTCTTTTGCTCAGGAAGACTGGCCCTGGGCTAACATCTGTGCCTGTCTTCCTCCACTTTACATGGGACGCTGTCACAGCATGGCTTAACAAGCGGTGCATTGGCGTGGGCCTCGGATCCGAACCGGCGAACCCTGGGCTGCGCAGGGGAGCGTGTGCACCTAACCGCTTGTGCCACCCGGCCGGCCACCCCCAGGGATTTTTTTTGTTTGTGTGTTTTGTTGTTCACTGAATCTCCCATGTCTAGAACAGTGCACATAGTAAGCAATCAATACATTTTTGTAGAATGAATAACTTTTACCCCCATTTCACAGAATTGGTACTTGAGACTTTGCAAGATTACCCAGCTTGTCTAATGCCAGTCAGCCTGTAAGCAAAAAAGCTGGGATTCAAATCCAGGTTTATCTGATACAAAGCATTGGTTCTTAACCTCTATACATATAGATGCTCTAAAGAAAACCACTGAGATATTTTTCTTTCTCATATTTATCCTTGTCTCTAAAGTTATTGCTCTAGATGTCAGACTGCATTAAACATTAATGTTGCCTTGTTTTCATAGCTTATCATCTCCAGATTGTCTGAAAAATGATAATGAAATGAAGCCTAAAATTTCTCCAGCCCCTGCTTGCCAGGATCATAATAAAGCAGGACAGGTACAGTGTCTTCAAACAAACAAAACCCAATCAGACTCTTCCTCTGACTTTTGTTTCTCAGAGAGAGTTCTGGGAATCGCTCTTTCTTTCATATATGGATATGGCTCAAGTACTCAGGACCCAAAACTGGACTCTGATAAATCTAGCTACTAGTCAAAATCTACTAGTTAACAGAAATAGAGTTGGGAAATCTCATTCTCATTTTCAATTGCTATAAACACTTCTGATCACTAAGAGTTCAGTAAATCCTTTTGAATATTTGTGGGGGCCACTCTGCAAATCTCATTTTGCTAATATAATTAATATATCCTTTTATAAAGTATACTTCTTGATATGCCCAGCCTTTGGTGAGCTTGTGAAGGGAATGTGAAGGCAAAAAAGTAAGAGGTAAAAATTGATTTGTCCTAAAATTTGGTATTGTAGGAAATGTGTTATGTGTGTTTGCAACGAGCACAACGAAATTCCCCACTGTACTGCAGTGAGGAGAGGAGGAGGAGAGAGATGGAAGATGAGCAACTCATACAGCAATATCAAATGTTGAAGGACCAAGAGGCTCTCTTCAAACAGCAGGTAGTTCAACACCTTGATTAAAGAGTGTTTAACATGGGACAGTAGAACATGATTATGAAACGCCATTTAAAATGTTCCATCATATGTCTGTATTGTACTATATTTAATCATTTACTTACTGCTGGACTAAAACTTAGGTTGTGTCCAAGTTTTCACTAATAATAAACAACTCTTGGATGAATATCCATGCAGCTGAATGTTTGCACATGTCACTGATTTTTTCCCCCCATCAGGACTGAGATTTAAAGGTGGAAGTCCTGGATTTATATGGGTTTACTTTTGATTTCTGATAAAATATAATCCTGGTCAAAGCTTTTCCCTTCAAATTTATGGCCTATCTCAAGCAAGCAAAGACACAGTAGCACCTTCACATTTGCTCTCTCCAGATTTCTGTGGTCTCCAACAATTGACGCTACTGTCCTTTCCTGCATTCGTGGTATCATAAGTAACCACTTAAGAAATTTTCCATTCCTTCTTTTTTTTCCCCAATTATTTTATTGAGGTCATAGTGGCTTATAACATTGTGTAATTTCAGGTGTACATTATTATTTATCAGTTTCTGTGCTTTGTGCTCACCACCAATAGTCTAATTTTTATCCGTCACCATACATATGTGCCCCTTTACCCCTTTTGACCACCTCCAACCCCCTTCCCCTCTGGTAACCACTAATCTGTTCTCTTTATCCATGTGTTTGTTTATCTTCTGCATATGAAGGAAATCATGCAGTGTTTGTCTTTCTCTGTCTGGCTTATTTTGCTTAACATCATACCCTCAAGGTCCATCCATGTTGTTGCAAATGGGACAATTTTGTCTTTTTTTATGGCTGAGTAGTATTCCATTGTATATATATACCACATCTTCTTTATCCATTCATCAGTTGATGGGCACTTGGTTGCTTCCACATCTTGGCTATTGTGAATAATGCTGCAATGAACATAGAGGTACATAAGTCTCTTTGGATTGTTGATTTCAAGTTCTTTGGATAAATACCCAGTAGTGGGATAGCTGGAATGTATGGTATTTCTATTTTTAATTTTTTGAGAAATCTCCATACTGTTTTCCATATGGCTGCACCAGTTTGCATTCCCACCGGCACCTTATCTCCACATGTTTTTCATATATCTCCACTGCTTGCTGGGGACCCAGTCCATTTACCTTCAGATGTATAGCTGCATGGGTCTCTCAGGTATCCTGTTATGCTGTGTAGGTATCCTCTGTTGGTCAATGAATGTCTGTTTAGTTGTACTTCAGAGGGGAAGAGACAAAGGGAACATCTCACTCTGCCACGTTGCTGATGTCACTCCCCACTTCCATTCCTTCTTATGATCCCCACAGAGGTGGTGCCTATAGCCCAAGAACAGGAAATAAAAAAACTTCCCCAACCCACTTTTGTAAATACATGAAGACATCAGAAAGTACCATTGCCTCCAAAAGGCTGGTTTCTACCTTGGTTGGATTATTATTTTTTTTTATTGGTGTTTTAATAGTTTATAACATTGTGAAATTTTGGGTTGTACATTTTTGTTTGTCCATCACCATATATATGTCTCCCTTCACCCCTTGTGCCCGCCCCCCACCCCCACTGCCCCTGGTAACCACAATACAGTTTTCTCTGTCCATGTGTTGGTTTATATTCCACATATGAGTGAGGTAATACAGTGTTTGTCTTTCTCTTTCTGGCTTATTTCACATAACATAATACCCTCCAGGCCCATCCACATTGTTGCAAATGGGACGATTTTTTCTTTTTTTTTGTGGCTGAGTAGTATTCCATTATATATACATACCACATCTTCTTGATCCAGTCATCAGTCAAGGGACACTTAGGTTGCTTCCACTTCTTGGCTATAGTGAATAATGCTGCAATGAACATAGGGGTGCATAAGCCTCTTTGGATTGTTGATTTCAGGTTTGTTGGATAGATTCCCAGTAGTGGGACAGCTGGATCATAGGGCATCTCTATTTTTAATTCTTTGAGGAATCTCCATACTGTTTTTTATAGAGGCTGCACCATTTTGCATTCCCACCAGCTGTGTATGAGGGTTTCTGTTTCTCCACATCCTCTCCATTGGTTGGATTATTTTAATGTAATAGAATTAAAATTTTTAAAGGCTCTATTTCAGTATGTGATTTTTTTTTCTTCAAAGATGAAAAGTCTGGCTAATAGAGAACGGAATCAAAAAAATGCTGCCTATAATCTTGGAGTTGCTGAAGCTATAAGAATCCACAAGAATGAGAAACCTGAATTTTATGTAAGAGTCTTTTCAAAATTTCTGTTGCTAATACCTGCCCTATCTGTGAGTGTTTGGATTGTATAAGGTTGAAGCTTCCTTGTAGAGCAGGAGTAGTCCAGAGTTGGCCTCCACACCGTTCACATTCACAATACAGTTCTTATTAGTCACTACAGCACTTATTAATGATACTAATTCTCAACCAGGACCTGGGAGGGGTGAGGGGGAGTATACTAAAGTATTGCCCCAGGATGAGCCAATCTAAACAGAGAACCAGCATCACCTGGGAGCTTGCTGGAAATGCAGAATCTAGGGCCCCACCCCAGACCTCTAGAATGGGAATCTACATTTGAATAAAATAAGTGATTTGTAGGTGCATTAAAGTTTGAGAAGCCCAGCTTCAGGTGGAGGTGAGCCACGTACTTCGCCATTAATTTAATGTTTTCAATCTTTATGTGCCTACCTTTATTTCTGCCTAAATCTTTCTCTTTTCACCTCACTATCTAGGTAGTGTGACACTTGGGATGTAAATCTATTAAAATATATTTTCTTTATCCTTCATCAACCATTTATTGAACTCCTATGTGCTGGCCACTGTGTTGGTGGGTAGGACTACAAAGATGAATAAGACAAGGTCCCTCTTCTAATAAGAAGTCTGAGGATCATGGGGGAAACATTTGAAGAGACAAGAGTGTGGTATACTAAATGCTATGATCAATCTTTGAACAGGGCACTACATGAGCAAAGAGGAAAGCCACTTAACCCAGACCAGAGATCTGGGCAGACTTCCTGGTATACAGGGTTAGGTAAGGAAGCGAATGGAGGAAGAACCTTCCAGGCAGGGGCAGCAGGGATGGAGGGAGGGAGAGCAAGGTGCTTTTGAGATTTAGGCACAATCACTCTCTCCTCTTAGATATATAAGTTCCAGGTTATATTTATTACTGCTCACTTTGTATCTCCTCTTTGATATATCTGTAGACATCTTAAAATTAAAAAGACCCAAACAGAAGTTTTGATTCCCCCCCCCAACCTGTTTTTCTCTCAGCCTTCCCATTTTAGCAAGTGGCATCACCAGGCAGACAGCTGCATGAACCCCATATCTAAGAGTGATCCCAGATTCCTCCTTCTCTGTCTCCCCACATCCAACTATCCACAAGTCCAGTTGCCTTTACCTCCAAAATGTATCCAATGTCTCTTCACATCCCTTCATCATCAATGTTACCCCCCTGGTCCAAGCCACAGTATAGGCTCAACTTCTGCAATTCCTCCCTAATTAGGCTCGCTGCTGCTGCTTGCCTTCTTGCCCTCCTACAATCTATTCTTCACACAGCAGCCAAAGCAATCTTTCAAAACTCTTAACCAAAACATATCATTCTTCTGTTTAAAGCCTCTAATGGCTTCCCATTGAATTAAAATAAAATCTAAACTGCTTACCTTGATCTCTCAGGTCCTACATGGTTTGGCCCCTGCCCCTCTGTCTGAGCTCACCCACTTCTACTTCCTCTTGCTCACTATGCCTCAGCCACATAGACCTTCTTTCTGCTCACTAAACATGCCTAGTTTGTTTCCATCTAGTGTCTTTGCACTTGCTGTTCCTTCTGTATGGGACACAGGTCCCCTGATAGTTGCAGTGGAGGTGATTCAGTCCCCTCCACTGAAAAGCTTTCACTAATAACCAACCACTTTAGCCCTCTTCCCACCCAGTCACTCGCTATAAGGGCTTCATTGCACTTAGCACCACATTAAATTATCTGATGTATTGTTTACTTGTTCACTGTCTGTCTCCTGCCCCAGAATGCAGGCTTGATGAGAGCGAGGCTCTCTGTGGATCTCTGTTCTTGGTCAATGTTGAATCACCAGTGTCTAGAATGGCCAGGCCAAGAGTAGGTGTTCAATTCTCTCTCTTCCCATCTCCTCTCAGTCCTTGCTCATACTTTTGTGCTCACTCAGAATTCCTTCTTGTTTCCACCTGCACGTTGTAAGTGCTAGCTCAGCACCTGCTCCATGAAGTCCATTTTCATCTTTCTTTCAGATATGGGGCTTTGGTTAGTTCTGCTCAGATTCATCCTTGAGCACACTCATACTATTCTGTGGGTTACCTCAACACTAGCTAGTCAACATCCTAGTGTTGAGGATTGGGCAAATATTATAAGTTAATAAATACTTTCTGATTGACTTTTGTCTTCGGAATTATTAGCTTTATTCTTTGTTGCTTTTTGGTATTCTAGAATAAATGAATTGCTTCTCTTTCATTCTAGAAATCCTTCCTATTTGATAAACGGCCACTCAGTCCTGAGATTAATGCTTTTAAGCAAGAGGAATATTCCCAAAGTCTCCTGAAACAAATGGATAACAGACGGGAAAAGGAAATCAAGCAAAGACAAAACAGAGAGTTGATGGACCGCCTAGAACAAGTGCAACTCACAGAAGAGTGAGTCTAGCTAGACACACTCTGAAAACGGATTCAGGGTTTTCATGTGATGCTTATTTCCATGTGGGATTGAATCAGCATTAGTAGTTTCATTAGTACAACTGTAACCAACTGAGCACACTAACCCAGCTAGCAGCCAGTATTATAGCATAGTATTTCCATTAGAAAAATGAAAAAGCCATCATTATTATAATTATCATTATAGTAAGGATTGCCAATCTATACTAAGTTATAGAGTATCATTTTGTATTGTTTTGTGATCACTAATACTGGTAGATGGAGGAAGAGATTTTTCTTGAGCAGGCATCATTCCCAGCTATTCTCAGGTAACCTCAAGGCAAAGCTGAGGCTTTATCATAAGTATGTAGGGGTGTTCCATGAAACTAGAGGGCAGGACTGTATGGGGGACCCAGGAGGACTGGAACTAGGGACTAAAAAGTCATGTAAAAAAGACTTTCCCTCTGCTCATACCCACAACTTCTTAGTTGACATCGTCTTTATTCCAGCTCAGACTTGGATGAATGTTAGTCTCAATTCCACATTTTCAGGAAAGAGAATCTTATTGGTTCTGCTTGGGTCATCTGAGGCCTGGGATAGGTCAGAGCCACAGAGTTCAAACATGCCTACGGGGGCCACACTTGTGCTGCTGAGATCAGGAGAGCAATTAAGGAGGCTACTATAGGAGCAAGACTCCTAAAACATATAATAAGCTAGCTTCTATCACCAAAAATTATATTTCTATAAAATGTGTATGTTCCATTATACTCACTTTCTAGATCATGATGTATTCCCTGTAGGTTGCATATAGTAGAATCATAATTGATAATAGGAAAGATCGCTTTTCTTAGAAAGGAATCTTATGATGAACCATTTTATAAAATGAATAGACACTTGCTGTTTTTCTATATAGATTTTTTTGAAGCATGGGGGAAGGGGTGCCTGTCTTTGTGGTAGTACATTTGGACAATATGGTGGGTCACCTGCTTATACCTGTCCTGTTTGTACTGTGCTCAACACATTGTCCACTAGCCTATGGATTTGAATTACTTCTTTTTTTTTTATTTAAACGAAAGCTCCTAGAAGAAAATATCACTTTTTATTTACCAAGCTCTCATTCCTATTAATACTTACTAAACATGCTGTGATGATATTAATCTGTATTACTAAAGACTCTGTAACAAACTGTGCTCCTACCTTTTCTTATTCTTAACTGCCAGACTTGCTGCACAAAGAGCCAAATATATAAAAGATAAGATGGAAGAAACACAGTGTTACAAGAGAGCTTTGGATGCACAGGTAAGGGGACAATTATTATTTTAAAAATTATGCAGTGCTTCAATAACATTCTAAAAATATGTAAATATACTGTAATGTTATGAATACCCTTATGTGGTATCCATTTGGTGGTTTTAGAGGCCCTTGTTCCTTCCTCTAATGTGTTGGTATATTACTATGCTACAGCATGGTGCATAAACTTTATTCTCTGGCATAATTATAATCTGCATTATGTGTGTCCCTGTTTCAGATAAAGAACAAACCCCCCCAGCTGCCCATGTTTGAGCCAGACTCTTTTGAGCCCATCTTTGGTGAGAATGAGGGTAAGCTGATGGTGGAAAAGCGAAAGCGAGAACAGAATTACATGAAGCACCAGCTGAAGGCTGCTGCTAGCCACAAGAGGAAAGCCATCCTGCACCAACTGGTGGACCAAAAGCGGGATTTGCAGATGCTTCAGAGGACCCAAAAAGAGTAAGAGACCCTGGATCTTTCTCCCTACTCCTCCTCCTCCTCATCCTCTCCCTTATTTCTCCTCTTTTCTCTCTCTCTCTTTCTCATACAACAGCAGAGAAGCAATAATAATAGTGAACACAATGAGGAGTTACTATGTGCAAAATATTGTTCTAAGCTTATTATATGCTTCATCTCATTTCATCCTCACAATTCATGCTATGAAGAAAAATTATTAAATTAAAAAAACCCACTAAACTCTTCATCCTACTTCTTCCTCCAGTTACTTCTCCATATTTTTCCTTCCCTTTGCAGTACAACTTCTTAAAAGAGTTGTCCATACCAGCACTAGCCATTGGAAATACAACATGAGGCACAAATGAGCTGTTGTGCTCAAGTAGACAGACACGAAACTCAGGTCCATTCTCAACTTCCACTAAAGCCCCTTCCTTCAAAGAATGGTGCGTGTAGTAAGCTGTACTGATGATTGCTGGTGAGGGGGTGGTGAAGACGGCAGGGTAGGCAGAGGAGGACTTTATGCCATATCAATGCAAATACCTTTAAATTCAAACATTAAACACCTAGTTTCTTTTTTTTAATTTTTATTTTATTTTTTATTTTTTTTTAAAGATTTTATTTATTTATTTTTTTCCCCCCAAAGCCCCAGTAGATAGTTGTATGTCACAGCTGCACATCCTTCTAGTTGCTGTAT